TGAGACTAAAATCCCTATGGGAATATTAAGTAACTTATGTAAGTAAATAACCAAGAACTATAATCAATACTTGTAATATGATAAGAAGTGAAAAACTATCCAAACTGTTTCTATACACACACTATAAAAACTAAAAATCCACATTAAGGATCTATCTTTGCTGCCCAATGTTAAATTGTTCATTTGAAAGATATTTTTCAGTATCAAAGAGAATTAAATCTTATTTAAGGTCAAGAGTAACTGTCAATTGTCCAAGTAAGTTATCATATCTCTCTATGAATCTATAATTATGATGATTTTATTAATATGATCACAAAACAAAATGCACAATTAAATATATTATTTATTTAATGTATTTGAAACGATTATTAATTTACTAAATATATACATTTGTAAAAGAAATATAATATAATCATTAACATTTCTTTAATAACTACTCAGTTCATAGTTCTCAGATAAGGGCAATGCAAATAAACAGTAGGACATCAAAAATATAAATACCCCTGTACCTAATTTAAGTTTTTTATACTTAAAAATAGGTAGGTGTATAAAAATATAGAATAAATCAAATTGGTTATTCTACAATGACTATATTCAGTAAGTAAGTACTTACTCACTTGAGTTTTCAATCATATAACATGGATAATGGCTAAATATTAAATATACAATACAATTTAAAATATAATGTAGACATACCTAGATAGGTAATAAACATTTGTTAAGTGAAGTCTATCGTTAATTTGTAGAGTATGGATGCCTAAACGCGGAATAATTATATTAATTACTAATTATTAACACAAAATTACAAAATACATAATATTATTAACTACAAGCCTGAAGCCACAAGGCTATAAGCCTATAAACGTTATATTAAAAACAGTAAACACTACGGCTGAGGTAAGATGTGATAATGGAATTGTGATACGATTATCAGCAAATTGATTTAATAAAAAAGTGTTTAGCATACAACTACTACACTGCCATTTTAAATCTGTGCGATTATATTATTTTTAATATATACTCCATTAACATATATTTTTTACTTGTATACGAAATATACTTAATTGCATAAAAAAAAGGAAGGGTCTTGAAACTACTAAATTATAAGGAGCCTTATATAGGCAACTTCTTATGCATTCAATCATATCGTTATGTTGACGTATTCACGCTATTCAAATGTATTACACGAAACAAGAACATAGTTATTTATATTTTTACGTTATGATTATATATATAGTGTTTATAGTTACACGATAAAAACGTCTAGTAACAAAATATATGCATCATTTTATTCAAAATACCTATGCAATAATATGCATTTTTTCCAAAATATGTAAACTTAAAAATAAAAACACTACAATTTACCTTATCATGAGGTGATTCATGGATATTACTGACAAATGCAATAAACAGAAGTTGCAAAAAAAATATATAATATATATTTATTATTATTTAACATTGATTTATTTATATTTTTAAATTTTAGTTGTAAATAAGATAGTAAAAAGTAAATTATGTAAATTGTAAAAATTTCATATTTTTTTTTATTCAAATAAATAGTGTTAAGTGTTACATTCTTTTATCATTATATAGATAATTTAATAATAATTTTTAGCAACACTATTTATAAAAGGAAACGACCGAGGTATACATTATTATTAAAAATATATAATTAATTAGTTCATTGTTGATTAAACATCTTAGCTTAAAATGTATTACAATTTAATTTAACTAGTACTCAGTACAAAAAAAGTTATACAAAATTGAAAATATTATCTCTTGGTATATTAAAAAAATTTAAAATCGGGTTTTAAATAATAAATGAACTATTGAAAAAGAAAAATGGGATGAGTATGCTTGGTGAGTCGCTCTGTATACAAGCCATAGGGCCTAATAATTATTATTATAGATGCACATCTGTACGATGAACTGTGCGCAATGTGCACACTATTAAATCGTAAAACTATAATACTAATAAGCTAATAATCAATTAATAATAATAAACAATAGTATCAGTGACAGTATTAACTTTTAAAGACGTGGGTGTTGATAATACAAATCATAATACAAACAAATAAACATAATATATAATATCATATAGAATGGTTCATATCGTAATAATTGAAACCTACGCATAATATACAATACACTAACATTGCACGAGTATTACAGTGTATTCTGTGTTTCTATGTGTAGATAATATACGCGTGTGCTCAATCAGCGCTATTCTATAAATTATGTATATTTTATTATATATACAATATACATAACTAGGCAACACGAAACACTGAACTCATCTGTTACGCAGTTCAACTCGAAGCAATTTATCACATATTAAATGTATTTAATACATTTAATTATTAATAACGGCCCCATCATCGGTGATACGTGTCGACCTCTAGTACGGCTCACATCATTCATATCAAACCCAAGCATATTATGTTTCGTATTATTATTATTATTATATTTATATAAATTAATCGAACAGCGATATTCCATTCTATAATCAATATAATAATACTATATACGCCTTCTGGTTGTCTGTTTTTTAAATTTAAATATTCCTACATAGGAATATTTCTATATTTCCTGTATAATAAAAGAAAAAACATAATTTTGTGGATACCTTAAGCTTAGAACCTATGGGCCCCACCTTAAGTAGAACACTGAATAATATACCTAATTGGCTATGAAAAATTAAAATACTTATGTTTACATCTTCGAATGTCAACAAAATTTTATAATTAGTTAGCAATATTTTAAAGTTGACTACTGACGAGTGACGACGTACCTAGGTCGGTAATTTAAATTAAAATTTTAATAGAAATTAAATTATTGATATTGCATAAATTTAAATTATAATTATTTTTATGTCTTAATCTAAAATATTAATCTTATAAGTACAAAATACCAATGAAAACCAGGATCAGAAAATATAATTTTATAAACACAACTAAACAATAAAAGTGTAAAATTATAATGTTTTTTTTTTTCGTTAAATGTCAGATGTATTCTATTATAATTAATAGTAAATAGTAAATATTGAAATTGGTAATTACCAATTTTTTATTTACCAACTATCACTCACTTAAGGTAAACAGAAAAAAATTTATTTTTATCATTTTGCTATTATTCCATAATTTATTGAACATTACGCCTAGTTCTAATAAGAATTTAGATTAATAAATATTATATTTATTTAAAGTTGCATTTAAATAATTATAAAACATAAATAAAAACTATCTTCTATCTATCTGTATGTTTTTTTTATTTTGTTATTCAGTCTATATTCATCTATCTAAATTTTGGGAAAGTTAAAATTCTAATTTATTAATGTGTGTGAATACTTAATCAGGCATTATAAATATGATGTGTAAAATATATTAACATCTAAAAATTATATATATACATACATATATACAACATCAAACTATTAAATAGTAGTGTGATATACACTATATTAACATAATATTAATATATTAATAATATTTTTTTTTGTAAAAATGTATTACATTTTATTCTCGGTAAACTTTGGACTATGGCAATTAATTAAAAACACAAAATATTAACAATAATCTAATGTAACTTTATAATAATAACCAATTAGTAATTATTAATAATATTTCATCTAATTTAGATATGAAATATAAAAATTTTTTAATCAGTATATCCTCAGTAACACATTATAAAATTATGTGAATGGATGGGTAGTTAGATTTTGTTACACTGCAACGAGTCATTATTTAATAAATAATTATTAATCAACCAAAGTAACTTAAAATTATTTTCAAAAAAAATATGCATACTTACGTTAGAATATCCATTGTTATAAAAATTTTAATCATTCATATAGAATGGTTATACTTAATACTATATTTTTTAATTTTATTAAAAAAAACTTGAAAGGAATGTAATATTAATTTTTAAACTTTTTTATTCGTTTTTACCAATTATTAAAAAGTATATTAGAATTTTTTTACTTTTGACCTCCCAAGTACTAACTAGATTTACCTTCCTATCAAAAAAGATATTATTACATTTTTTTTCTAATTTCTTTAAATTTATTTTTTAGTTAGGAATAAAAAATTATGAAGAATATTGTTTTAAAATATTGTTAGTTTGTAAATGATAAACTTGTATGAATTTTATATTCAAATTTCAATTTTTTAACCAATTAAAAAAAATGTACCGATAATAATTGAAAAAAAAACTAAAAACTGTTTAAAATTTCTTAATGATAATATAAATATTTGATGATAGTTTAAAGTATCTACAGTATTTTGTTATCGTTAAAAAATATCAAAAATTATTTCAGGACATATAATTTTACAAATAAGATATCTAATGTCGTAAAAATTTCAACTACTAACTACTATTCATAAGAAATCAATGTATTTTTTTCAAAACTGTTGTTTTGTAAGTAATGACTTTAAATTATTTTAAATATATATTTTCAAGAACGTTAGTGTTTTCTGAAATACCTAGAAGTGTCTTACGTTAAATCGAGCACCCCTTGTATATATATATATATTTATTTTTTATATAAATACCTGTGACAAGTATTTTTTCTTTTGTTATTTTTGTTGTGTTAGTATGTTAGTAGTGGTGCGTACATGTCAAATGTAATAAACTTAAAATTAAAAATATAAATTATGACGTAAACGGTGTACGCTTCGATATTATAGTGATTATAGTAATATTATGTATGTCCGTCCCTCTTTTGTATACATTTACGTCGTCGCCACCACTGCCTGCTTACCGCCACCACTACCTGCTTACCGCCTCAAAAGGTCGGATGGTTACGCCGGATACCATTACCGTGGTAAAAAAATAAATATTAAACGCATATCGTACGCGAGACATAGTGTGTCGAGTGACTTGCACAATGCACATAATATAACAATAATATTATGTATAATTGAATTTTACACCATCGAAGCCTAGCAAGTTTATATTATTATTATTATTATTATTATTATATGTAACATTTAATAGTTTACTGTTTATTATTTACGTTTTCTGATACAGTTTTAGTTTCAAGAAATCATTTATTATTTTAAATCTATCATATTATCAAAATTATATCGATCCGCGTATATCGATCTGCATACATCGATCCGCGTTTATAATTTATGGATTTTTCGTGATCGTGAATGGCAGTTTGGCAGTTACTATAACTAATAATATAAATTTGTAATAATATTATCACTGATCTAAAATATATAATTAAGAGTGATTTATCTTTTTCGCATACAACGCCGTCGATTAACATTAAGCAGTACACGTCGGTCGTCACGTCGTGATCGGTGAGTAACATATTTTATTTCAATACAATTAGTCGATTTAATTTTCAAAATTGCTTATGACTTTCACAGAGTATAGTGCACAGTCAAATAGGTTTTTAATTTGAAACATTTTCCGCATATTTCTTAAATAATAATGTTTTTAAGTATTTTACAAAACATCTATATAATACTAATAATAAGGTTACTTTTTTAGTCTCAACTCGTAGCATGTCGTTGTATGATTTTCACCTAATTATTATTTCAAACCGTTTCGTACTTATATATATATATATATATACATAATATAATAACTATATGCTAGTACATCAAATGACGTTTTTAACGTGTTTTAACATACTACTACAAAATATATAATACAAAAACTGTGTTCAAATAATTGACAGTTTACAAGACTACAGTTCATGACACGGTATGAATGGTACCTATCTATTACTTTCAGTTATATGCCTATATAGTTATATCTATAAGTACGCGATGAGTATACAGAGAAAGAGGGTGAGTGAAAGAGAAACTAGAAAACAACAGTAAGATAGAGAGAGAGAGAGAGAGAGAGATATTTTGTCATATACCGACGTCCGACATGTTTCTGTCACGGAAAATATTAAACTAATTATGGTAAAACATCATTAATGATATGAAAGAGAAGAATTCGATCCACGTTAATATATTTTGTCGGTGTTCGTCAATATTTCGATTTTAAGTGGTCACAATTTTATTATATATTAAGCCGACCCATTTTTAAAGTGGTTTTAAAATATATTTGAAAAATATAAAAATTAACAATCGTCTCGTTCGTCTTGACTACTATCTATCAATAATATATTTAAATGCATTCAAAAAGTAATTAATAGTCAAGAAGTGTTTTTATTTATTAATTACGCTTAATATTGTTTTATTTATTATTGCATAATTAAGTAGTCCATTTCCAAAACTGATTATATAGGTACCGAATTAAAATTAATAATAATTAAATTTTTTCTTGTAATACATTTCCAAAACTTATTAATTGTATTCTAAAAATATGTTTAATGAAACCTTTCTTCAATACGTTCGTTAGTCATTCATCAGAAACTGGTGTTTTGTAATATTCTATATCGCCTAAACAGCAATGTAAAATTAACAATGTCGAAATAATAAAAACTATATACGTGTGCCTGATGCTGCAGTAGATACTTTAAAATAATATATTATAATCTGTGACTATGTAACAAACTATAATATTTTATTTACGAAAAAAAAATATTTTGATTTTTGTATTGTTATTCATATATATTATACGCTGGTGCTTTACAGACTGCCTATATCTGGCCCTAAAATTGTGTATACTACGACACTTTGTGTAATACAAAAAATGAAATGTGTACTGCGAAATTCAAAAATGTGTAGCAAATAATAATGTTTTTTTTCTATATCATTACTATTCACTTTACATCACTTATTATAAACGTTTAATTAAAAGTGAATAGTATGAAAAATAGAAAATTTTAGGCCCTAGTCTATATTGATAATAATTAACGGTTTTATTATGAATTTAAGTCGTTAAATGCAATTCGAAATAATTTATATTATCAGATAAATTTTTATGACACTAAATTTGCTCACTAATGCACTAAACCTTAGTTAATTAGTAAACAGCCGCTATGTTAAAAAACATAACGAGATCATTTTTCCTATTTTTTTTTTTTTTTTTTTTTTTTTATTATCAGCATTTAATATTTTATCATTAAATGTTAGGATTTACGGTTGTCATTTTTAAGCTCACATTATACATTGTCGAGTGAAAACATTGAAAACAATCGACTTTGCCCTAGTTGTAGTTAAATGGCTTTATAAGTTGTCGTTAGATGGCGCCACTAACGATAACTTTTTTGTCCTCGCTTGCCGCTTTCGATCATAATTCTTATCCACTTATCTCTTATCTTCCTACCATAAATATTATTATATTAACAAATTATATAATACATATATTCATAGTATACAATACACACGCGTATATATATATTTACTATAATAAATAGTAAATACATCAATAATTAATGCTGATATCATTTTTGTTGATAAATAATTAATTTTATTCGCTACCTGTAACTTGGTGCTTGTTGTTCGATTAAGTTTAATCCTTTTTGTTTTTTTATTTTAATCAGTTATTTTTGTAGCCGATGAACCTACGTTATTAATTTTAATTGATTTGTTTGTTTTTTTTTTCATCTTGAAAAATAATTCACAGTCATTGCACTGTTCAGATACCAGAGTGTTCATATAACAGTCACATTTTGCTGACCTAAAAAGTTCACCCAAAATGAGGCTGTTCAACTATAGACTGGCCAAAAATCTGGAGAAAATGGTTGATTTCTACTCGCAGTTCAATCCATCATCATTATCCATCAAACAGTTCATTGACTTTGGTTAGTTATTTACAATATTAAGCCAATATTAGTATTTTCTTTCATTGCTTTCACAATTATTAATAATTATATTACACGCATGACTATTGATAACATAAAATTAGTAACATTTGTCACAATAATCTTCATTGTGGATACATCCATAATCTATTATTGTTGCACAAATTTTCATTTTTTAATGTTAATATTCTGTATAGGTAAGCCTATATAAAATTAATACAAATTTTATATAAATCATTACTTTCAAGGATTGTTTTATTATTATAGTTTGTACAAGGTATTCTACTTATAAATATATTGTAATTATAGTAATTTGAAGGTTTACTGTAATGCATTTCATGATTGACCTTGAAAGTTAATACTATTTTATTTATAGCATAATTGGATGTATGCTAAATACATAAGATTTTATGCACAGAGATGAAATAATTTCACTAAATTATGTGATTTACATTTTATTAAAAGTTTTTTTTTAATCGATTTTATAAATCATATAAATTTTAGATACAGATTATCTGTATAATACATAATTATTTTCATAAAATATGATTTAATAGTAGGTAAATAATTGTTATTACATTTATTTGAAATGTTTTTAAGCTCAAAATATATTAGTTTTCTAAGCAATTTTCAAATGCAAATTTACATAAGTTTGACTACAATTATTGTTGAGATTAAATACAACTATTTTTTTAAGTAATTTTGTTATTTTTAATTCTTTTATTATTATGACTAAAATTGTTGAACATTAATGCATGTTCATGCATGACATAATTATGTGTGTACATTTTATATATAAAAAAAAAAAATATTGGGCAATTAAAAACAAAAAAAATATTGTATTATACATTGAAGAAGTATTAATCAAAATTCAAATAGAGGTTTAAAATGTTGATAGATTGTATATTTTAATGACAGTAGTTCAATAGTGAGTCATTTGTAAATCGCACATTAAACCAGTGTCTTAAATATTACATTAAAATTATAAATATGTTATAAATGCTTAATGAAAGCAGTTTGTTCCAAAAGTTTTATTAATATCACCCTTAGTATCTTTATGACAAATCATTTTATTTTATATTATAAATATGGATTTTAACAATAAGTATAAAAACTTTGATTGAGTGGCATGTTTCAAAATTTTTTCTCAAAAATTCATAGATTTCAATAAGAAATTTATAGTTTAATTTTTTGTGAAGTAGTGTCAGTAAGACCCCTCTATTAAACCGATTAGTTTTATATTACCTATCATATAAAGTAATATTTATTACTAATTGTATATATATATATATATATATTATTTGTTCTATTGAAAAAAAAAGTAAAATGAAAGCTTAGTTTTTTATATTGATTTCTTAAAAATAATAATTTTGTGAGCAAAATACGAATCTTGTTTTAAAGGCATATTTTTATCATAAGTAGATTTTTCAATAAAAATTAATTTATCTACAGATAATTGGTACTGTGCCTGTTCTTAAAACAGTAAACGGCTTAATCACTTGTATGGAAATGTTCTAGTACTTTGCCATTTAATTAAAATTTTGGAACATAATCTATATTTATTGATTAATCACGGAGATACTCAGAATGATATAGAGCATACATATTCACATTCAAACTTAGTTTTAATTATAAAAATTGTACTTTTCGAATACAAGAACTACACTGGTATCTAAAATTTTTAAAAATAATATAATATGAAAGTTGTACTAAATGTATATTATTTTTTAATAAATAGTTAGAATTTTTTTTTTTTTTTTTTATTTATGTATAATTTCTAATTAAAACAAAATTAGAATTTTTACAATAATAATTATATCATTTAAATATACATTATTAATAATTTTAAATAAATGTTTATAATTAATTAATTATGTTATAAGTGCATGTTATTATGTTATATTTATCAAATGAATGTCAAAGGGCAACAAAAACAATAAGCCATATTAAAAAAAAACTTTTTATTCTAACAATTAGAATTATTATTACAAATATACTTTTTATATTTTCCCCATCAAAATATTAAAACAATTTTAAAAAAGAGGTTAATAATTGTTGATTGTTTTTTAATAACTATTATAGGTAGAGGTCGGAATAATATTCTCTTAAAATAGCTAAAATAAGATTGTAATATTCCCCTAAAAAATTGATAATATTCTTTTAATATTCTTTAAAAACTATAGTTAAATATACAAAAAATATGCATATAAATTCTCTTAAATTCAAAATATGCTTTTATATTTAAAAAAAATACAATCTAATTTATATATAAATGTCATTAATTATGATATAATTCTATATGTTAACTGAAATATTTTTTTTTATTTATTTAAACAAACAATTTAGGTAGATACCTTATAATTTTGCTTTAAAAAAAATGTTAACTTAACATTTTATTAACTCATTCCTTATTGTTATTCCATTTATAGTTATCTCAATAATAACAGACTAAAAACTTATTTAATATTATTAATAATTTTCGTTCCTACAACACAAAATATCCAAATTCTATAAAATTATTCGATATATTCTCTAATATTCTTTTTTATACGAAATATTCTTTTATCTTAAAATATTCTGAAATATGCAAGAAAAACTTTTGCCATTAAATTATATGATTCATAATTTTTATAGATTCCAAACCAAAATTTGACTGCATAGACTTAAAAAAAATATACAAAAGAATATTATTCCAACCTCTAATTATAAGTATTGATTTATTTAAGATTAAATCATTGCAATAGTAATTTAGTTATTGTTTTTTTGAATAATACCAACAAAAAATTATGCTAAAATTTAATCTTATTTTTGTTATTTATTAATTTAGGTTTAAAGGCAAATGAACAAAAATCATATCAATTTTTAAAAAAAGAACTTCCGGTTCGTTTGGCAAACATCATGAAAGAAATTCACTTGCTACCAGATAATCTATTGAAAATGCCATCTGTAAATTTAGTGAATAACTGGTACACACAATCTTTCAATGAAATGATTGAATTTGAAGTTGATGATGGATGTACAGCACAAACTTTAGATAAGTTAGTATAAATTTAACCCTAAAAAATACATTATTAAAATTTTATATAAATACACAGCATTTTCAGTAGTTATTATAAAACAATTAAAGCCAAATTAAACAAATATACTAGTTAATCAAATAAGTAATGCTTGTAACTTTTGTACACTTAATTCGTTTTTTTCTTCATTTTTTAGAACATAATTTTATTTTAAATATATAAGCATACTTTATTTATCAATGTATAATTTGGCTTTAACTTAACATTATATTTTGATCAATAAATGTATAAATTATTTTTTCAAAGAAATATCTTCTAAATTTAAAATATTAATTTATTTATTGATTTATAAATTTTAATAATTATAAAACTACATTTAAAAGAGAAAAAATGTTTTGTTTTTTATCTACTAGAAATTTAATTTAAAATATTTAGTATACTTAATACTTTAATGTTTATTGTTTATTATAAAATTAATAATTTTTTTTTTTTTTCATAATATTTTAGATTTTGTAAAATATTAGTAAAAATTCGTAATCGCCATTCAGATGTTGTCCAAACAATGGCACAAGGGGTCATGGAACTAAAAGATTCACATGAAATCGATTTGCATACTGAAAACAGTATTCAATATTTTCTTGACCGTTTTTATATGTCTCGAATTGGTATTCGTATGCTTATTAACCAGCATAGTAAGTTTAAAAAAAGATATTAAAAATCTTTTCTTTTTTTAAATATTTTTTTTATTTATTTTTGTTTTTAAGCATTACTATTTGGTGACCATATAAACAGCAATAACCACCATCAACATATTGGATGTATTGATCCATGTTGTGATGTGATAAGTGTTGTAAAAGATGCATATGAGAATGCTAGATTTTTGTGTGACCAATATTATTTGACCTCACCCGAATTAGAAATTTGTAAAAGTATTGGTAAATATAAACCTGTATAAAATTGATGCTACCAGATAATTTAATTGTATTTAATTTTATAGATGCTGATGATGAGCCAATAAAAATTGTTTATGTGCCATCACATTTGTATCATATTCTATTCGAATTATTCAAAAATTCAATGAGAGCTATTGTTGAGCATCATAAGACTGATATTTTGCCACCATTACAAGTAACAATCGTAAAAGGAAAAGAAGACGTCTGTGTTAAAGTAAGTTTAAAAATTATGTTATATCTACATTATTGTTACTATTGTAACTTTGAGTATTTTATTTTGGTATATCAATGGTTTATATTTATTGTTATTCATCATATTATGTTGATGTTGTCTAAAATAATACTGAACATTGTAATTAATATTATTTTTGTTTAATATTAATGGTAAACAGTTTCTCATTATTATATTTTTTTTATTCTACTCGTATATTATACTTAATAGTTTGTAATTATTAGCATAAGTATAGAAAATTAAATATTTGTATATTAAGTTAGCATTAAAAACTTACAATAATTACAATGTAAAAGTCATAAAACCTTGATAATAAAATAAGTATATATTAAAAATATGTACAAATGGATACTAAGAATATTTTATGTTCTTGGCAGGTGTCTGACCAAGGTGGTGGCATTCCAAGGAGTTTGAGCGAACGTATGTTTCACTACATGTATTCAACTGCACCACAACCTTCAAAATCAGATGCACATACAGTGCCATTAGCAGGAAAGTATTTTTAAACAAATGTTACTAGAATATAAAATAAGTGTGCAGATTTTTAATATGATTGTATTTAATATTTTAGGGTATGGTTATGGACTTCCTATATCTAGACTTTACGCTAGATATTTGCATGGAGATTTAGTTGTGTTATCTTGTGATGGATTTGGTACAGAAGCCATTATTTACTTGAAAGTAAGAGATAATTTATGATGATAAATTTCATTATTAAATTATATTAAATCATAGTTAAAGGTTTCTATTACAATATAGGATTCAAATAATTGTAGAATCTTATCGATTAAAACTATTCATATAAATATATGAATAAAAATATTTATATACATATACTTAAATACATTAAATTCAAAATGTTAATGGTACATAAATTAAATTCTTGGGTGAACTTATTTATTTTTAAAAATTACAGTAGTATGCATTTTTCAAGTAATTTATAAAAAGTTTGTATGTTATAAAATGGTACGTATAATCTATATAAAAATAGAAAAAAGGACAGTTTAATTAAAAAAAATGAATTAGCTATGACATTTGATGGGTCATGAGTACACTAATTTTTAATTATCTGTTGAAATAAACATTTTATAATAAAATAGGCTTACAAATCATATGCAACATTCTTTGGAAATACCTGAAGTTCAAACAAAATGAATAGTACCAAGTAGAAAACCTACATCTTACAATATTAACTAATTTTAAATGCTGTAAATATTTTTATAGACATAGGATTATCACTTATCATTTCTGTGTTATGTATGATTAAAGAATAAGCTTAGTATTTTATTTTTACTCAAGTTGAGGTATTATGGTTAGTTATTAAATTGTTATCTTCATTATTATTTGGAAATTAAATTAATTTAATTTGAATTGCTATAGTAATCCAACAGTATTTTGCTCAAAATTTATATTACCAGATCTTCTGTTCTACTACTGTTAATTTTATTTTTTTAGGCTTTATCAAATGAAGCTAATGAGTTATTGCCAATATATAATAAGATGTCAACTCGGTTCTATAAAACAACTGATCATGCTATAGACTGGAGAAGTACATGCCATCATACACCGATCAGTCAGCAGCAATTTACACAAACACAATAAATACGAACTGACTATTTGAAACTGTTTAGTCGCCATTTATTTTTAAAAGTAATACAATAATGGTTTTTTTTTTTTTTTTAATTTATTTTAGTTTTTAATTTTATAGATATTAGTTATTTTTTCATAGTTTGTAAAAAGGAATGTTTTTTAAACATAATTCCTTTACTCTCATACTTTTGTATTAGCTCATTTAGTAAATATATTATTGAGACTCAATCAAGGTTAATTTTCATAAATATGAAAAATTTAAATTAACTATATAAATGGAACTATTAGTTATATTATTTTTATTTATTTTAAAATGTATGGATACTTTTTGATTGTGTGCTTAAAATTATAAGGTGAAACCCATAATAATTTTATGATTGAAATAAAACTATTGTAAGAACGTTAAGCTCATTATTATTAGAAAGTAATTACAAAAACACAAAAAGTTATTTAATGTCCATTGATTTAATATACTAAAATATGTATTTTAGTTTTTTGTTTTTACTAGTACATATTTGTATCATTTTTTATTCAATAATAATCGAATTAACTGGTTTTTTATACGTTTTCGCTAACCATGTTTTAATTTTTTTTAAAGTTGTCTAATCTTTATCACATGATATTTTGATTTCTATGTCGTTGAATTTTTTCATCGTATACCTCAGGTTTTTTTTTACATTAACCAACCTTATATTTTTATTATTTGTTTGATCAACATTCAATTAATTTGACATAAAACTGAAGCAGTTCAATTTATAAATAGTTTCCTTTTAAAATTTGTTATTCAATCAAATATACTAGATATTCCATTTCTACAAACTAATGCTCTGATCAGGATTTTAATTTTTATTATTATTTATTTTTTTATTTTTTTTTATCAAAGTATACAATCAAATTATTAAGACTATTTAAGAAAATTGCCAAAGTTATTCTTATTCTAACTAGCTACTACGATTTTTTTCACTTAATAATAAAATCAAGAGTCTCACTAAATCACATTACACTTAATAATTAATTGTATTGTACTTTTCATGGGCGAAACTAATAATTTAATTAGATATTCAGTTTTATATGTAATAATAATATTAAATTGTGTAAAGCAGAATTTTTTTATATCAGTTATAATTGCTTAAAAAAGTATATTAAATATTTTTATTTAACTGAATTTAGTTGATATTAATTTGGTTTATAACTCAGATATATTTTTAAATAATTTGGTACCTACTGTATATGTCAAAAATAATTTTTTTAATGTATAATTAAATTTAGTAATTGATGATGATACCGTTTTGTAACAAAAATATAAAAAATAATATTGTATACTAAACAAACACAAGTGATGTGAATAAAACAATCATTTTAGTAAAAATTCCCACCGTTTGATTGTAAAATACTTGATAATTCTATATTATATTATAAAAATATCAACAAATCAAACTGCATTTTTTTTCATCGATATTTATGTTGCAAATCTCAGCTACAATTTAATTAAAACATACTAATTGTTTTTAAGATTAAATTTCAAAAACTTCATTGATCATAATACTAGGTTTTACTTCGTACTTATTAAAAAAATAATAATTATTTGATTAATAATAGAATTGTATTAATAGGGTATTTAACTTACCATAACAGTTTAATTCATTATTATATAAATATGAATCATAATATATTCAAGAGTATTTAATTATTTTATTATTCAGCCTTAATTGGCTTACTCAAATGTATGTTTAGGAAATATTATTTATTTTACATTTGGCATCTGCATTTCAATATTTTTGTATTTTATGTGGTAATTGTGTAGCTAAGAAATTCCTAGAAGATATTATCAATATTTACAGAGATTAAAAATCAATCATTTAAGCCAATTTGATTAAAATGTTTTTTTATTTTATCACTTTTTATGTGGCCAATAAGTTGTGATGGTTAACATTAGTTCAAATTCTACTTTGGAAAATTTTAGATATTAATTTTAAGTAAAACATAAAATTTTAATTTATTTGTATTTTCAAGTGTTATTGTGATTAAAATTGATATACTAAAACAAATAATAAAAATAAAATTTACTATAGAATTTTTAAATATGAATATTAATATCAATTCATCTGTGATAAGTGTATTTTTAATTTAATATTGTTAGTATATTATATAAAATGTACCAAATTTTTAAATGTAGTTAAGAGAAAGAGCTCTGGTAGGGCTTCATACTCTTTGGTTAGAATATTTAACTTTTTTTATGGCTACAGACACTAAATTTTAACGAAATCTAATAATATTTTTTATAAATTGTTATAAATAAAATAAAATTAAAACTATTATTTAGAAAATTAATTAATACATTAAAATATTTTTTTATAATAGGAATATAAAATAAATATTATGATAACTATTTTAATTAACTATTCTTAATTAATCATTTTAATTTTAGATATTGATATCTTACTTTTTGATTAGTAAATGATTTTTTAGCCTTACTATTTCAAACAAAACAGTTCATAATAGCAGCAATACCTTTAGGTTTGTCAAACTAAATTTTTACATGAATTCATTCCTAAATATTATACCCAATATGGTTGACATCCAGTATCTTGATTTTATTGGCTAAATAGATTATTGTCATACTTGTTTTTTTTTTTTTATTAAAAACTGTTTATTACAATGCACATAGGACTTGTGAATAATTTTTATGAATTTATTATAGTTAAATTATAATAAATTATTTTTTGTAGATATAAAATAAGAAATTTCTTATTTTTTATATGAATGATGTAGGCAGTTAATACAAAATTTTCCATTCCTAAATTTTGCTGTCTTAGGCAGCTGCCTGCTTTGCCGGTTAGGAAATCTGCCATTGTTCTCAATCCGTCTCAAATGCTCCTTTAGATAAATTTTTATTTATCCTTCCTTGTATAAATTATTGAAAGTAGGTAAATAATAATGGTTGATACTTAATTGATTAGCTTAAATATATGTATTATTGATGCTAGGACGTAGATTTAAATTAGATATTTAGCATGGGAAAGGTGGTTCGAATAGGACTATGGGAGATCTTTTTCATGCCATTTATTATTTAGTACATAAAACTTTTGATTTTTTTTAAATTCAATTATCAATATGGTACTTTCATGTTTCAATTTCCATTTCTAATTTATATTTACTTTGTTTCACATAGGTCACGGAGACAGGTGACATAATTATTAACTGTTTTTGTACTTTATATTGGTTACAGAATATAGGTCACTTACTAATTATACTATTTATCTCTATATTAACAATTGTAGATCTAAGCGAGCAGTAACCAGACACCGTAAGATAAAAGATAAATAATGTATTTCACCCACGATGACAAAATTCATAGTTTTTGATGATTAATATCAATTTAAACTTGTTATGATATGGTTAGAGTTTTGGCCAGTTAATCCTGTTTATGAACAAAATATTTTCTTATTAGGGTAAAAATTGCTTCTTTTCCAATTCCAACACAAAATAAAACTGGAAAATGGATAAACTTTATAGTTCATACTATAAGGTAGCCAATTAATTATTTGTTTGTTGTTATGGACAGTATGTATGAGTATGACATACATACATTGTATGTGTACCTTGGTAAGTGATAACAAAATGAGTAGAGATAATAGCTACTTAGTATTTACCCTCTGTTGGTTTACTTTTGATTTTAAATTATTTTTTGTATGGTAGTTACTAGTTAATTGTTTCTGTGATCTAGTATAATATAGTATTTTCAATTATTATTGTAGATTGATTTCTCTTTCAGATACTCACTACAAAAAGCTGAAGCTAAAGTAGAAACTAAACAAAATAATCAAACTAAAAAACTATATGTATTATACATGTTGTTTAGATAGTTTTCAAGATGATTGAACTCATGTTAGTATGAACATTATTTACATCATTTGACATACTGTATTATGAATGATATTTTAAAAAGCATCAACTCCACTTCTCATGTGTGAAGTATAAAAAAAAAGTCTACTCAGATCAGTTTAAGAGATATCAAAAACCATGTTCTATAAATTAATGAAACTTTTAATTTCAAGAAAAAATTTTAATTCCAGAAAAATCTTCAGTTAAAAAAAATAATCTAATTTAAAACTACAATCGAGTATTCTTGGAAATTGTCATAAATATAGATGTTTTAATTTTAACATATGAAATAAATTCTGATTTATACTCATATATATACATATTAAGATTTATATGAACTTGTTCATACTATGCATTATGTATGAGAGGAATAGTTTGACAAAAACCTTGACATCTTTAGTCATTAAAAATAAAAACCTGCACTATTGATTTGAAATGGTTTCAGGCTTCAAAAATATTGTCATTCAGTTTTTTAGTAAATTATACACATTTTAATTTTTATAATACAAATTTTACATTTTACTACCTACACAATTGTATTTAACTAATAAATTTTATAAATATCAACGATTAATAAATTATCTTATAAATAAAAAACATGCTTATCAAAACTGACTCATTTTAAGACTTGAATTATTAATCAAATAATTGCAAATGAATCTTCTTGAAACTGTCTTGTTACAATACTCAGAAGCTCGGTAAACAGATAGGTATTCAATCAGTTCAATAATTTGAATTAACCAAATAATTACTTAAGAACATGACAAGCTCTATATTACTCTGAATTACTAATGTAAAAATTGTGGAGATCCTGAGAGTAGATTTATACATTTTACTAAATAAAACTATTTAATAATTTTCTTAGGTCAGTGATTAGTGATTTTGTCGATGAAAATTTAAATGGAGTTTGATAGTGATGATAGCCTTTATACATTGTAAAATTTGACCTATAGTCAATAAATATGCATGTTTATTGACAAAATATGAGAATGACGATACTTCTAATAATATAAGAGATGTTTATCTAATAGTAACTTACTTACTTAACTTTAAAACTTAATATATATTATTTGTATATTTTTCAGTCATCTAATAGAGTAGTTCATACATCTAAGAAAAAAATAAAGTATTTTTATATTTTTTTTACCTTATTAAGATATAATACAAGCCATAATTATTTAATACAATTATCATTGTGTTAATATAATATTAAATAAATAGCATCTCATAAACTTGTGAGTTAATATTAAATTTTAATTGAATCAATGTAAATTAAAAATGCTTTTATCATATATGCTCCTATCATTTAATACATATAAATATAGTAATTGATAAAAACAAATTTTCATTGTTATTCTGTGATAAAATATTTTATTCAATTA